TTTTCTCCTTTTTAAAAAATTAAAACATAATCTTTTAAAAAATTTAAAAATGGAGTTCCATGTTTGGATCATTCTTGCCAAATAAACCAAGGAGCTTTCATAAAGAGCTAGAAAGTTTGGGTTTTGTATATTGTAACACTCTGAATCCCCAAATATTGTTCCTTATTCATTGTTCAAATGTCCTCCAATCTTTGAAGCCTTTGAAGTAATGTGATTCCAAATTAATATATCTAAAAAATTTTTATGAAGAGTCAATTCTAGCTCTAACTATGAAATTAAAAATTTATAGTGTCTATCAGTACAATACAAGCTGGTAAAATCTGTGAAATTATCAAGAGGAAAAAATAATTGATTTGTCTATCCACCTATTCAATCATTCATACATTCAACAAATATTGAGTTCCGACATTGTATGGGCCAGTCTACAAGGCAGCCAGCCCTTTCTCTCATGGAACTTGTGATCCAGAGAGGAATGAGGTGGGTAGGACCACCCATGTTCTAGAAGATCTTGCTCTATGTTGGCCTCCCTGAAACTTCAGAGCATTGATTTCTACTTCATGATGTTGTCTAACTGGTCTTACTAACAGGCTGTGTCTGTATGATAAACACGAGCTAGCTAAAAGATGAGAAATTCAGGCATTATTCACACATCCACAATTACCCATAAATGTTTAAAATAATGTAGACAAAATATTCCATGCCTTGGCGTCCTACAGCTGAGTAAAATGAAATAAGATCAGTTTGATGTCATAGTTGAAAACTGTACTTGTAAATTGGTATAATTCATCTCTAGCCTAGCTCTTCAGAGATAGCCTCAAATCCTTAAAAATCCCCTGAATGCTAGATTTTGCATTTAGATCTCAACATTGTCTTAAAAGATAGCGGTAGTTCACACAACTAGAGAATTCCCTATTGATTACATGATTAAGAAAGCACAAACGTCTGTTATTCTTTCCAAAGTCAATTGTAATTTAAGCTCATTATCTCCCTGCAGATGTTCTATTTCAAATGGCAACAGAATCAAAATGTAAATGCTCTCGTGAAAATGTTTGGGAATTCTTTTACCGAACTATGCTCTGTGTATTAGCCTTCAAAACCACAGTAGGAGAAAGTTCAGAAAAATCTGTTCCACTGGTCAGGTAACTAAACCTGATCAGGGAACTAAAATTCACCAGGATTGCTGGTGAAGAGTCACAACAGATTTTCCCCCTAACTTTTAATACCTAATTTGTTATATTGAAAATTCAGCTTCATGTGAGAACAACCTGATACGTCTTTATTTTAATATGATTCAGAACATGTTAGTGGCTCTAATGTGATTATTAAAAATAAAGAGCACTAGTAAAAGTTGTGGGAATTTTTAAATCCCCTTCCCTCTGGCTTCAGTGAAACTTGGAACCACAGCATCCTCTCTAAGTCTTAGGGATGTCTACTTCTGGTTAAAATTTTAGGGGAAGGCTTAAATTTCAACAAACTAGATTTTATTGAAGAAAAGTGGCCATTTGTATGTAGGACCACAGTGACATGTAATCTGTCCTTAGATGCTGTCAGTGTG